TCGTTAGGTTTTGTGAGGGCTGCACACAAGTCCATCAGTGGTTGTGGTGAGATACACACAGGGGAAGGTCTTTCCTGATTGATATCTCTATAAGACTACGCCCTGAACTACCAGAGAGCCTCAGCTTCACACCAAAAACGCAGTTTTTCTCTAACCTTCATGGCAGTTATCACATCAGAAGCTCAAGTTCTGCTACTTCTTCTTTTTGACATCTGCCTTGATGTTGCGCTCCATTCTTACAAAACATATGCATGAATCTGCAAAGATCTGACAGGCTGTAGCATCACTTGTCCCCTTCATACCGACAATGCAGTTTCCATAACACCTTTTTCTGCTCTGTGTCTTTGGACAAATGCATAAGAAAGAAACTGTCCTCAGATAAACAACCTTTACCTAAGAATTTGTCACTTTCATCTGTTTTCTCAGCGCTAATATTTATATTTTAATTGTTATGCTCTTTTGAAGCAGTTTTGATTTTTATGTCTGAACTTACTTACTACATTAAAATAGAACAACTACCACAGGAATGCCACAGCAGAAACAGCAGCCATCGTTTTGACAATACCACCCACTTTCAACCACAAATGTTAATAAAACAAACAGATGCCACTGTGGGAGGAAAAGGAAAGTACACATTTCTTCTGTGATCACTGAGATAAGAGAGTTTTATCTTTTTATACTTATATCCATATGTAGCAAACAAGTAAAACTGCACACAAATTAAACCTCACTAGAAATTGTTTTGTTTATTTAGTTAATGCTTTTTAAATGCACTGCCAAAACACAAAGAGGAACATCTGACATTCCCTTTAACAAACCTACAAGGAAGTATTGATTTGCACCTCTGACCACAAGAACCAAGCCAATTGAGGTTTTTACCAGAAAGCTTTAAATATTTTCTCACCTGATAGTCCGGTAGATTCTGGTCAATTGGAAACCAAAATTGCAACATTTGTAACATTTTCAGCTGCTGTGGTTTGCTTTCACACTGCATTGTCAAACAATTCAAACCCTTTGAAAATCCTGTTCCCCTCCGCGCCTGTGGTGGCGCTGCACCGAGAACAACTGGCGAAAACCTGACGAAAACCTCTGAACAAGGCCTTCCTTCTTCACAAAATGTGGAGTGGTGTCAAATTTGAGTGATTCTAGCATTTATTTCATGTCTTTTGCAAAAAACCACAAGTCATTTCTTCCACTAGTGCTAGACACACAGGTTTGTTTTGGTTGCATTTACCCAGAATGCCCTGCGCTGTAGTCCCAGTAAGTAATATATGTAACCTGTTGGTTGGCAGTTCACTGCCTGTGATTGCCACATTACATTTATTTTTATTGGCTGTGATGTTTAAAAAGAGTAGAGTGTACATTGTGATAAAGGAAAAGAACAAAAAAAAGTTAAGGATTCCATCACATGTTTCTATCACACAAATAGTGCCTCAATTACAGACCTGAAATCTCCAGACCCAGTAGGTTTCCAGCAAAAGTTGCAGCGGCTGATCTGGATAAGACGTGAACCGGCTTTGTGAAACTGAAAATCCAGCGCTAAGTCTGAAGTCACTTCAATAAACGACTAATCCAGCTAGCATTATCAAACACCTAAAGACTTCTGACAGATTACTTCAAAGATCTGAACAAATAAAAGTCAGTTTCAAATTACAGAAAACAACTAGAGATCAGGCTTGATGGACTCAGACCTGAACCTTCAGGGCTACATAAAGGTGATTGCAAAGTCAGCCTTCTATCACCTGATAAACATTTCTAGGATTAAATAATTAATGTCTCAGCAAGCCAGGGGCTTTTTATCCCCTCATTTACAGCTCATAATTTTAAGAAATTTTCTATGTTAGTCCACTGTAAGAAAATGTAGTCATGTGTCACTCAGACTCATTTTGGTTCAATTAAAATAAAAAAAGCAAAAGACCAAAAAGGGACTCAAGATATGTTAATATGTTTTATAAAATCACAGAGAAACCGTTTATGTTTCATCATTTATGATTATCTCCAGAATTAATTGAGATACTAGCAAGAGAAATAAAAGAAAATGGTTTTAATAATACAGATTTTATATGGAAGCAGGAGGGGCTGAAATTTAAAAACAATCTAGAAAATATTTTTTCTTCAAATTTTATTTATGAGACAAATCTCAAAATTGCAAATGTCTGATATTTTCCTCCAGCAAGTTTTATACTTTTAAACTCAGCAATTTCCTTGTATGTGTGCGTGTGTTTTTTTTTTTTTTTTTTTAATTTCAGATTTCTCTTCTAAAATTTTAGCCATTTTGAACTCAGATGGCTGCACAGTGGAGCAGTTGGTAGAGCTGTTGCCTTGCAGCAAGAAGGTTGTGGGTTCGATTCCCGGTCCGGGTCTTTCTGCATGGAGTTTGCATGTTCTCCCTGTACATGCGTGGGTTTTCTCCGGGTACTCTGGTTTCCTCCCACAGTCCAAAAACATGACTGTCAGGTTAACTGGCCTCTCCAAATTGCCCCTAGGTGTGTGTGTGTGTGTGTGTGCATGGTTGTTTGCCTCTGTGTTGCCCTGCGACAGACTGGCGACCTGTCCAGGGTGAACCCCGCCTCTCGCCCAGAACGTTAGCTGGAGATAGGCACCAGCACCCCTTCTGACCCCACTGAGGGACAAGGGTGTAAAGAAAATGGATGGAACTCAGACATTTCCAAGATTTTCTCTAGAGGATTTCTGAGATCAATCTTGAAATATCTCAGCTTTTTATAGAAAATTTTCAACTTTAAAAATTCAGAAATTTCCCCCAAAATTTTTATTATTTCTGAGATAATTCTCAAAGCTTCTGATTTAATTTTTTTTAACAAATTTTTGACTCCACCTTGTACAATTCGTTTGTAAAAGATGGATTTCTGAACTGACCTGCAGATAAAAAATATACATATATACAAACAAATGTCCTACAAAGATCAGTTGCCTTTTGTGATGTCATCCCACACCAGACAAGTGGGCGTGTCCAACTTGTTTTCAGGAAGGCACAGTCTGTTTTAATTCAACACATTGTAAGAAAATAGCAAAACAAGTAGAAGTTTTTACCATTACATCACATTGTAAAAGTGACAACCTACATTTAAATCAAATTTGATTGATTGACAAAGACCAGGCTGAGTAGGTGCTTTAAAAAACAACAAAACTACTGTATAATTAAATGACTTCACAGTAATGAGCTGTTGAGGGGAATTACACTAAACAGCAGCTATTTTTACTCTGTTGCGACTCACCAACTTGTACGCTGAAGTACAACCATTCCAGGATAAGTCACGGAAACATTAATGTATAACTTTAATTAGCGTCTCCATTCAGCTGAAAGTCTCAGTTTCAGTTCGCGTCGTGTGTCTGTAGTGTATGTAAACATAACCTCCTACAGCCATTGAGAACAGATGGAGGGCTGTAAGGTGGGCAGCGCAGGAATATGACAGACATGGCGCCCAGAAGTAACTTTAAATGGGGCAGCAGATGGAAAACTCAAATGAATAAGTGAGCTTGTTTGGGTTTGGACGGGCGGGTAGAGCAACAAAGGGCTTGCCGAGGCATGCCGACAGCTAGTTTCAGAGCGGTGGGGTAACAACGGCAGTTAGAACCGAACCTTTAGCTTGTTTTTACTTTAATTAATAGAGGTAAAGCAAAAGGTAGTACACAATAAACCTGGTTACTCAACACTGTCTACCCCAAAACAACAATAGCCGCTCTCACTTACAAAATAAGACGAGTTACCAGCCAGTTGCTAAATACACCAAACGTCTTAAAATGTTTTACTCACCTCCAAGCAAAAGTAGTTGGCTTTTTATTCATGAGCAGGTGCTAAATGTCCGAAAAACTACAGTTAGATTGTGATAAGTGGTGTGTCACACACTTCCCTCTTTCTCTCCTCCGACATCCTTATTTTTTTAATGCAGCTTCAGAAAGCAGAGAGCTGAGAGGAGGAGGCGGAGCCACGTCTTATCTTCAGAGGGGGAGAGTCTCTGCCTGGGTCGGTTCCAACCACCTCCAACACCCCGGAGCTGCGTGTGGAAACTACCCGCCGTAGTTACTCCTACACAAATATGCACCGATCTGCTGCCAGGCCAGGCTGTGTTCAGTTCCTACGGCTGGGACGCACGACCAGAGGCGATTCCAGACCAAATTTACCAGGGGGCTCTCTGGGGGCTCACAACAATACCACAGCGGTGGGGGGTCATTATATATAGAAAAAAAGGAGTAAATTTCCCCCCAAAAGTCAGACATTCTTATTCTCAGAAATTTTATAGAAAAATATCTAGGAAATTTCAGAGTTAGAAAAGTAAAAATGATAGGGAAAAAAAATCATAAGTTTTGACATTAATTTAAAGAAAACATACTGAGCTTAAAAAGTTTTACATTTTCTGGGGAGGAAAAAGAAATCTGAAATTTTCTAAAAAAAAAAAAATATCTTGAAAATTTCAGTTTGAAAAGTCAAAAAACTGTTAGAAAATATATCAGATTTTGAGACTAATCTAAAAGAAAAAAAAATAATGAACTTGCTAAGCTGAAAAAAATTGCTCAGGTGGGAGAAGGGGGGAATCAAACTTTGAAATTTATGTCAGAAGTTTTCTAGAAAAGAAAACCTTGGAAATTTCTGAGTTTGAATAGAAAATTTTCTAGAAAAAAAAATTCTGAAATTTTTAGGCTATTCTCAGAAAAATTCTAAAAATAAAAAAAACCTGGAGATACTGGAACAAATTCATTTTGAGATTCATCATATATATTTTCTAGAAAAAACAAGAACAAATTTACTAGATTGTACTATAAAATAGCACTATGTGACCTGAGACACATAATACTGCCCCTTTAAAAGGTGGCAATTAGTCAGAAAATTGCAATCAGTGCAGTCCTAGACTCTAATCAGAAATATTGATAAAAAATTGCAGATTAAAACATTGTTACACCCTTCTTATTGATTCAATTCTAACAGTATTACCAGCGTAAATCAAACTTCATCCAAAAAAAACTACACAGTGTCAGGAAAAACAATACAATCGTTTCTTTCTTTTATTACATTCTTTGTTAAATTACTACATTTTAGATTAGCACAAAATAATGTCATCCTCACAAAAATCAAAACCCATGAGATTAACGGTTTAGTCAGTACATGACAACGGTCGTCGTTGAAATCACAGGTTTCACCACTTGTGAAAATACAGAAACTATTGTGCAAAAACACCCTCCATCTGTTAGATAATGAAAATAACATTTCATCAGGCACATATTGATACACAAATCAGCTTTAAAAGTTATAGTGACGCTTTAGAGCAAGTTATCAATACAGTCCTAAAATTGTACAAAAATACGAAAGTCTTACAGCTACTTTCCATTCAGTGCCAATCTGACTGCTGATTAAAATTAATTCGATTTACTTTGATAAATTAGCCTGGTATTGGTAAAGTAAAACTTTGCAAAGTTTTTAAAGTTCTGAAATGTGTCCTGTTAAAAGCAACAGCTTTAAAAACGAAGCTACCCAGATGTGCAACTTTTTAATGCGTCCCCACATGGTAGGGAGGGATAATACTAACGCACAGACTCCAGGCTGCGCATAGAAAGTGGATTCTGTTATCTTTTGCTGTTGCCAGGAGTCCAAAATGGTTTTCCTAAAAGATTGTTTTTGTACAGGACATGCTTTACCTGCCATATCAAAACAAGCTGTGATTTTCAAACACACAAGATCATTCATAATTTAAATAAAAATGCAAAAAGGGGAACTAAAACTACAAACCCAAAGTGCATAATTTAATCCCAGCATCAAACTGTTCTCCTGTTATCTTCTGGTTAACCTGCTATTTATGCATTGATATTAACTTTTATTAACTGGAATGTTGGAGGGAAGCCAACAAATTCAAGCTGGTCAAAGTTCAAAGAGGAAAGGAGGAGAAGTTCAGAGCGAGCGAAAGGTTGAATCAACTCCTTCAGTCAGGTTTGGCGATGCTTGTGACTCACTAGATTTTTGGGAGTATTTATACATACGCAGTGTGCAATATTTCTAAAAATCTGTTAAATGAAAAAAGCTTCCATATTTTCTGTCTCAAACACGATGCTTTCATGAACTATTTATTATAGAAATCATACCAGCAGAATTTAAATGAAAAACAGTAACTATACGAATGTTTCTCATGCACTCCTAATCGTTATTTCTTCTTTGTTGGTTTTAAAAATGTCTGTTTCTGGTGATGAAAGACATTTTCGGTCTATTTCCCCGTCACCACCATGACGCTCCAGTTATCTGCCATCTACCAGGAATTTAGTCGCATTTGTTGAGTTAAACTGACATGGATGGATAGCTAGAACTGCGGTAAACACCAGCAGAGAAATCCATCACAGGGCTGATTTAACGAGTTACTACAGAGGAGGATTGTGCAGCTAAAGGCTCCCAGCCGTTGGTGGAGGTCCGTTTCATCAGCTTACAGTTTGGACCGCAGCGGCTTCAGGTACTTCTGGAAGGATTCATGGACCTGAAGGAAAGAGCAAAGGAGATGAAAATCCACAAATATCAAAAACAAACATGGATGTAATCAGACAAAAATGTTTTTATTTCTATATTCTTCCTGCAATCTGAGTAATGAGATCAATGTTAACTAAGAGTTTTCCCTGATTTCTGAGAATTAAAGTTTGAATTCTGGGAATTCTCTGAATTTCCTAAGAATTCTGAAAAAAGAAAGAATTCTGGGTAAAACAAAAGTCAGAATTCTGGGATTAAATCAGAATTATGTCTTTTTAACCCAGAATTTTGACTTTCTTTCGACAGAATTTAGAGAATATTCAGGCAATTCTCAAAAATGTCAAAGAATTCTGAAACAAAAGTCAGAATTTTGATATTTTCCCCAACAATTGTGACTTTTGATCTCCTAATTCTGACATTAAAGTCTACAGAGTGTGATGACTGTTCTCTTTTTTTTTACCTCTGCGGCATTAAGGGGTGAGCGGCGAGCCCACTCGAACATGTTCTCGTAGACGTTTCCGTCGTACCGTCCCAGAACCGAATTCAGCTTCTTGTCGTGGATGTCGAAGGCATCGACCAGCGCCACAGCGTTGGGTCGCAGCTGGGACAGAAGCTCTTTGATGCGAACCGAAATCTGCAGAACCTGCGGCACGCTCACCAGTCCAGCCTGCAAGACAGAAGAATGTTTACCGGAAACAGAATCAGCTTTATTAGCTACGTTTGTGCACAAAAACAAAAAATTAACTTTTCACTTTGCTCTCAATGTACAGACATTTCAAATATAAATATACAAAATTTGGAGGAAGATTTTTTTTTCTCTTGCAAATATGTATATATACAGAATGTTTTAACAAGAGAAGACAAAGTTAAATTAGTGCAAATAGCACTGTGTAGAACCAAAACAATGTCTAAACATTGTGTGTCCAGGATGTGTGGGGTCTGCAGATATGCTGGCTACACTTTTCCTGCCCCTCCATCTGTAGAAATCTCGCAGAACTTATTGTTCGTTACAGTCTTTACTAGGGGTGTCCAGAAGCAACTTTTTACTTACAATAACATTGTCATATTTGCAGCGTTGAGCAACAATATTGATGCAATACGATATCAGCACAAATCAAATGTACTTTTATTACTTATTTTGTAGCATAAAATATTAGAAAAGGCTAACAATAGTCACCCAACTGTTGCCAATTTAGCAAAAGTCACTATATTTAGCAACTTTTCAGACATAAAAACAATCGGAGCTGGAAGGTCCAGCTTCTTAAGGATCTGTGATCGGTCAGAAAACTGGAATCGGTTCGCCGCTCCTTAACGTACCTGCAGGAAGTCTCCAGAGTTCTTTGTGATTCCATGCATGGCGTAGAGCAGAGCCAGCGTTGACAGCACAGAGTGTATTGCTGTGTCCCCAACGCCTTTCAGCTTGTCATTAAAGACTTTCACCACAACATAGTGACAGTGGGCCTAAAGAGAGACGACATCAGGGAAAAATAATCAATACCAGGGAGCAATAAATGAAGTAGTCACTGTAGGATAGAAAAATCAGATTGTAGAGGCAAATTAAAGGAATTATAATCAGTCAACACAGGCTCCTCCCACCAAAAAACAAGAAAATCATAAAAAAAATTACAGCCAAATATCTGGACACAACGCATTGGTTAAAAATGCAAATAGAGGAATATGAAAAAGGTAATTTACATATTAAATTATGTTTGTAAAAGCAGCTCACTGATGTGTTTTCAAATTAATTCACTATAATTTAATCAGTAATGTTTATTTGTATAGCACATTTCATACAAAGTCATAAAAACACAAAAATACAAAGTCATAGAAGCGCAGTCAATTTATGAAACATTACATTTTGTCAAGTTCCATCGTTAAAAATCACCATTACACGTCAAAATGTTGGATAATGTTTGTTTCACTGATTATGTTTCAAAAGCAACTTTAAACAGCTGGGCTTTAGTCTGGATTTAAAGGAGCTCAGTGTTTCGGCTGTTTTTCAGTTTTCTGGATGTTTGTTCCAGATTTGTGGTGCGTAGAAGCTGAATGCTGCTTCTCCTCATTTGGTTCTGGTTCTGGTGATTCAGAGCAGAACCAGAACCAGAAGACCTGAGGGTTCTGGAAGGTTGCCATGACAACAGCAGATCTTTAATGTGCTGTTGATTGAGTGATTTATAAACTAACAGCAGGATTTTAAAGTCTTTTCTCTCAGTGTAGGGACTGTAGAACTGGTTGATGAGCTCTAGCTTCCTGGTTTTAGTCAGAACTCCAGCAGCAGCGTCTGGATCAGCTGCAGCTGCAGGATTGATTCTTTAGATTTCTTTAAACTACAAACTGACAGAGAGGAACTTACGTCCGAGGCTCTGACCAGGTCGATAGCGCTGTTGTTCCAGGCGTCCTCCTGTGACTTCCTGCGCTGCAGCTCCTGCTGGATGCTTTTCGCCGCCATCTCAACTAAACTACAAACACAAACCTCCATTAGTAAACGTGTCGTTCAAAAAGAAAGACAGTTTTCTCCTAAATACGCTCCATCTGAACATGATTTAATCACAGTATGTTTAGGAACAGTTCAGAGGCTTGTTAGAAAACATCAGAGAACAAACTGGAGACCAAGCTTAAAATCGAAAGCATATGGGAGGATTTTGACGGTTTCCCTGGCGATGGCTGCCTGCCTAAGCTGAGCACAAGACAACCGAATGGTTTGGATTCATGTGTAAAGTGATCCAGACCTGATTCTCCATCCAATCTGTCTGAGCTTGAACTACTTCGCAAAGAAGAGCGGACCAAACTTTCAGTTCCTAGACGCAAAATGATGGTAGAGAAACACCTGGAAAGCTGCAATTTCAGTAAAAAGTTGGTTTTACAAACCGTTATTACCTCAGGAAGCTGAATACAAGACATGTAAAATATAGAAAACTATTAAAACTTTGCTTATCCAGCTTAATATCATTTCTTTCTACAATTGTGTTTGATATACTTATATATGCCTTTTATTGCGTTATAGTTTTTATTTCCAGTTGACCTTGAGTGCTTTTAAAGTCGCCTTCAAATAAGATGGAATAATATTATTATTGCTAATCCTTTTTTCTATCCACTTTATAACCAAGAACTACTTTGAGTTGGTCGAATAAAATCCCAACAGAAGATGAAGCATCCAAGTTTGGCCTTTGTGCCCATGTAGGGTTCTGACATGTTTTCAAAGGTCAAATTCAAGCAGCTTTAAATTATCTTTTGCACCACAAAAATACCTCAACACCATCAAATTTTGGATTAATCAAAGTTTAAAACAGCTGTCATAATATGGCTGTCTGCATGTGAACAAACATGTAACAGAAATAAGCAGGACGAATGTGTTTAGTTGGGCTTTGTTGGTCTGATATCTGGAAGTGGAGCACCAGGTTTGGTCTCCCTCCGACAGGCTGACAGAGACTCTTTGTGCTCAGCACAGCTGATACTCGCAGCAAATAGATTTAGACATGACTAAAGTGAGCAGCATGCAGTGATGTAATCGGATATCATCTTCCTCCGAGAAAACAATAGAGGCTGAACTAAGGGTGCAACGGACTGAAGCGAATTAAACACCATCATATGGAAAAACGTTATTCCATTACAAATGACCAACTTGCTACTCATTGGGTGAAAATAAGGATCTGTTGAGTGACGCATTATAATGAAATCCAGGTCAGGATGTGTCTTTTGATGCATGCAGAAAAAATATTCTTTTTCATCAATTAAAAAACAAATATTATATTCTGACAAACAGAGGTATTGATCTACAAAATAATAACCAATTAGAGACGAGAACAAACAAAAATAAACAAAAAAAGGAAGTACACATTAAAAAGGGTGCATGCAATGAAACAGAGCATAACAAAGAGGTAAAATGAAATTGTTTAATGTTTGTGGGTTAGGATTTATTTTTCTTTTAATCTTGGCAGGTATTTTCTGATTTGGATTATTATTTTTCATTTTCTCTAATATTCATCGTTTTGATTAATCTAGGATTGAGTAGAAGTGAGAAAGAAAAAAAATAAACAACAAAAAATAAAAATTAAAACTATATGCCAAAACAAAAAAGAAATTATTTAACAATAATTATGTATTAAATTATTAATTAGTAATAATTTAAAAATTTATAAAGAAATGATTTATTTATTAAATTATTAGTCTGAAAGTCTGAATTTGACTTTCAGACATTAATATCTGAAAGCAAAATTTCAGATATTAAAAGTCAGAATTCTGAAAAAGAAAAAAAAAACTTAATTTTCCAGCTTTAATCTCAAAACATGCCAAAAAAAAGAATAAATAATTAAATTATTTAATCTTTATTTTGGGATATGTTGTTATTTTTATTTTGTTTGAGTAATCAAATAATAATTAGATAAATTATTTATTCTTTTGGGATTTTACTAGTAGGTTTTCCCATTTCAGGCTGCACAGTGGCGCAGTTGGTAGAGCTGTTGCCTTGCAGCAAGAAGGTTCTGGGTTCGATTCCCGGCCCCGGTCTTTCTGCATGGAGTTTGCATGTTCTCCCTGTGCATGCGTGGGTTTTCTCCGGGTACTCCGGTTTCCTCCCACAGTCCAAAAAACATGACTGTTAGGTTAATTGGTCTGTCTAAAATTGCCCCTAGGTGTGAGTGTGTGTGTGCGCATGGTTGTGTGTGTCTGTGTTGCCCTGCGACAGACTGGCGACCTGTCCAGGGGGTACCCCGCCTCTCGCCCGGAACGTTAGCTGGAGATAGGCACCAGCACCCCTCCCGACCCCACTGAGGGACAAGGGTGTTCAGAAAATGGATGGATGGATGGTTTTCCCATTTCCTCTTTGAGGATAACAAAGGTTAAACTTTACTTTTGCTCAACTTTTTCAGTGAACAGGAAGTTGGCGCCCCCTGGTGTTGAGCATTAAAATGAAATGTATATTTCTGAATCTCTGCGTTGCACTGGTAATTCTGCTCAGTGGAGGTTGTGACTTACGTGGCGGCTCTCTGCTGGTAGACCTCCACCAGGCTGCTCAGGTCATTGATGTCCACCAGGGGGCGCCTGGAGGCCACAGCCTGCGGCTGGACCCTCCGGTTCTGGGACCCGTTCAGGTACGACACGATGCCGCTCAGCTGCTGGCCCTTTTCCGCCTGCCGGTAGCTCTTCACCAGATACCTGCAACCATGAATAGATTCACAGATATTCATATTAAAGTTTGAAATTAAATTGAGGAGCTACTGAAGCGAGATTGTCTAAACAGAAAAGGCTTGGGCGAAAAGTATTTATTGTGTTTAACAGGAGCTTGGATGAGGTTGGAAAAGGATTATGACCACTGAACAAAAAATATTCTAAATTTAATCCATGAATTCTGAGAATAAAGTATAATTTCAAGTATTAAAATCAGAATTCTGAGAAAAATAACTTTACTTTTCAAATTCCGACTTTCATCTCAAAATTCTGAAAAAAGTCAGAATTCAGACTTACATTTTCCTGAATTTTAACTTTAATCTCAAGATTCTGATATTAAATTTAGAGCGCAGATTTTTTTTAAACCAGAGATCAGAATTTTGAGATTAATGTCAAAATTTTTGAAAAAGTCTAAAGTATGAAATTAAACTTAGAAGCTGATTTTTTTCAGATTAAAGTTAAAATTTTGAGAAACAATTTAATTAGATTTTTTTCAGAATTCTTATTAAACTTTAATTTCAAAATTCTGAAAAAAAAGGCAGAATTCAGATTTAATTTTTTTCTGAATTTTAACTTTAATCTCAAAATTGTGATATTAAATTTAGAACGCAGATTTTTTTTAAATGAGATAGAAGTCATCATTTTAAAATTAATGTCAAAAATTTTGAAAAATTCTAAATTATGAAATAATACTCAGAAATGTGATTTTAAAAAATTCAGAAATTAAAGTTAAAATTTTGAGAAAAAAAATTAAATTTGATTTTTTTTTTCCCCAAATTTCCTCTGAAATTAAAAGTCTGGAAAAGGTCAAAATTCTGTCCCTAAACTCAAAATTAAAGCCTGGATTTAATTAAGACTTTAAATTCTGAATTTTTCAGAATTCTGAAAAAAAATCAGAATTTTTACATTTTTTGCTGAAAAATTTTGACAAAGTCTGATTTTTTTTTTTCTTTTTCTTAGAATTCTGAGATTGAAATCAGAATTCTGACAGTTTTTTTGCAGCGATCCTAATCCATTTCCATACTTGGACTATAAAAGAAGCATTTATGTGTTTTAATCAGTGCAGCATGTCTGGATCTGTACAGTGTTAAAAGGGATGGTTTAGTGTTGCAACATCAAACGCTGATTGTCAGCACCAAACCCAGTTCATGTTGTTGACACTTCTTCTGTTTACATTATAAGGAGTGTTGAGTTACATCGAAACAGCAGGACTAATTGGTGAAACTCAACAGAGCTGAAAGCCACAAGTATCTACATGAAAACAACTGCATCATTTCCAAGTCATTTGTTCCTTTGCAGAGCTCAATGCAAACTGAGTCTCCCGTTTCATTCCCTCCCATTCACTCCAGCTTTGTTCTGTCTGTGTTCAGGCATGAACTTCCTGTGAGAGGAACATTTCTGGAACTGGTCGCGGGTCCTCAGAGGGAAACAAAGACCAAATATCATCTGACAGGTTTCTGAAACTGATCTTCTGACCTTTACAAAAAAAAAAAAAAAAGCCGCCATGATAAAGGTCGGATTGTTTCTGTGTCCAGCTCCTTTTGCGTCAAACTCGACCCAGGCAGGCTGGGAGCTTTACCTTGCAGTCTGCAGCATCATGACTGTGTTCTCGCCCTCGTAGGTGCAGGTTGGGGTAAACTCAACGTAAATATCGGGCAAGGCACTGCTGCGGGAGTAACCGTGGCCGCCACACGACATGCGGCACACTTCGATAGCGGAGTTGGTTTCCCAGGTGGTGAAGGCCTTCAGGCCTGCAGAGAGGGCATGGAGCTGCAGGGCAGAGGGAGAACCAGGTCAGAGACTCAGCTCAGGGTTATTAAATACTTTCACATAAATTAGTGATGTGATTCACGGTTTCCACACATTTTTCCCACAGTAAAATTCAGGCATTCTCAAGGTAAGTTTTCAGGTTTTTCCACCTCCACACTTTGGAGATAAAAACAAAAGAAAATAACTAATGAGGACAGTTTTAATTCACTATTACACATAATTGATTACTGTTATTAATTATGTCTTGTAAAATATTCTACATAGCAGCGACAAGGAAAATTTAAATATAGCAAAATTTTACATTTTGAAAATTCTCACATGCACACTGCATAAACCTGAGAACAAAACACAAATTTCAGAAAAAAGACCCCTCAATTTCAATAACAGCAACAAATAAAGACTGGACAATATGTCATGATACGTTTTTAAGCCATAAGCATTTCATATTAGTCAATATTAATAATTAGTGATTCGTTTTTTGCTTTAAATGTCTGAAAAAAACTGACAAACCGATGGTGTGACCGTTCCCGTTTTATCCTCAGTTTCATCTCGAGCTGCTGTGCTCATTTTCAAACCCTGTTGATTAAATCTAATGCAGCTCCCATTCACAATGCAATTTGAATAAAAATACCCACATTTATTACACTGAAACTCTTTATATTTCATTCTCTTCACCATTGCAGAGTTCTGGAAACTTTCCCACCCATTCTTCTGCGATTCTTGAAAAGCTATAAGAAGTTAAGTGTTGTATGTTGAAATAAAAAATGGGGCCTAAACCATTGCACCACCAACCAAACGTAGATCGGTAATTTCTTTTGACACAAGCCTCAAGTTTAAAGGTCAGTGATCCAACAGGTCCGTACCTCGGGCAGCTGGCTGAAGTCTCCCTGGTTGATGTCTTCAGAGATCCGGTGGTATATCTCCGTCATGTACTGGCCGACAAACGTGAACGCGTAAGCCATGGAGAGCAGAGGGAAGAGCTTGTACTGCTGCGTCTGGTAGTCCAGGATCTGAGGCTCTGGCTCTCTGCAGATTGGAAACGCAGAGGTTAGACTGTCCTCTGCAGGAGGATGTGGCAACAAATCAGATATTTAAAGAGACACGAAACATTTCCTGCTGCATGCTGGGGATTCCTGAACCAGTTTGGGGAAATAAAAAACGCCAAGAACTGTGCTCCAGCTGGAGATTCAGCAAACTTAAAATAATTCATATTTAAAGCCAAACAAATAATAATTTTGTTAAAGAAGTGGTGCTATGTGTTTTCCAAGCACAAAGCCCCATTTTGCAGCATGATCAAGTAGCTATGTTACCTTCGCCTCTGTGTCTTTAAGACATCACAATAACGCTCCTCCATTATGCCGGTTGGACTGAGAAGTTGCATTTATAATGAGATTAGCAGATTCAGTTCCATCAAGCTTTTGCTACTTGCTGCTGGCTAGTCTGAAGGAGCTGAGGAAGTGTTATGGGAAAATAAGCGGCGCTTTGTGACAGCAAGCCTTTGGGCATCCTCAGCCAGTAATTCAATGAGTCCCCAAACATGCATGAAGGGATCAAAGCAACTCCAGGTGCGTTTTTGATGAGGAAATGACATTATAACCTGATGTAAAGTTAAAAAAAAGTTGATGTTATGTAATAATTTTCAAGCTCAACCCAAACTTTTTTTTTTAGAAAAGCCAGTTTTGCTCAGATGTGAACTTTGAGCCACTTTACTGTCTTTTCTTCACATCACTGCTCGTCTTGCTAAATCAGATTCATGATACAGTTTAAAAGGTTTAATCAGGCAAATAAAAGTCAAACAGTACAATTAAGTACCACTGCATTTAATAAGTATAATTAGTCAAAGATTAGATAAAAATATGGAAAATCAAAGATTTTTTTCACCTTCAGATTTCTGTTTTTCCCCTAATGTTTTTCAAGATCTGGGAATCCGCTTTGATCTGGGAATCAAAGCGGATTCCCAGATGTGTGTAAAGTTAGATGCACGTAAAGTGATTTCTGTGTGAAACCGTTGTGCTGCAGTGTGTCTCCTGACCCCGGCCGGATCTCAGACTGGTGGCGCACGGCGCTGTAGCGGATGGCGATGGTGCAGGACTTGGACAGGGCGCGAGCCGACTCGCCTACAATCATGGAGCGGACGAACACCATGGTGCCGTAGGTCAGCTTGGAACTGGGCGGCTTCACGTACGTCCCGTCCGGCTCCACCTGGTGGAGGAAGAATCCCCAGTTTAAACGTTAATCCATCCTCAGGATCACTGCCACTAACTGGAATCAGCATTTTAAGGATTTACCTAAACAGCAGCAACCACGTTATTTTACATTTGGTTCCAATCTGAAGACAAATATTTGATACTCGATAACATTTTCACAGTTTTTTCCAAAAACATATAATTAATTATAATTTGATATTTTAACCCCAGTCATGGTAAAATCAATTTAGCCCTCATTAATATCTATAGATCTATCCATCTAGATCTATCTATATATGTATTTATATCCATTTATCTAGATTTATGAAACTATACACCTCACACACACACACACACACACACACACACACACACACACACACACACATGTGAATTATAAGATAATTTATTGGTGACTCAACATCTTACTTGCTGTTTTTTCTTATTTACTTTTTTAGATCCTATTTTATCATTTGTTTTATCTCTTTACTCTGAACCTTTTATGCGTCAGGAATAAAGATGATGATGTTATTTCCCTCATTAAATATGAATATTTTGTTATAAATTTGCCCCTTACTGCTCAGTCTCTTAATCTGTTATATATTTTGTACTCTAGTCTGAATTTGCAGTTTGCATTCATCATGAAGTTGCTGCTGGTACATCTAAACTCGGGACATTAAAGAATATTTCTATCCCATTTTAAAATCCTTTATGGACATTATTTTCCATTGTGTCCCAAGCGTTAGTAAAGAACAACCAAAAGCGTTGTGAATTCGAAAATCTCCGTCAGATCTGGCAACCCTGTTTTCAACTGAGCAGCATTTTAATGTTTTCAAGATCTCTATAAATATTATCTTTTCAGGAAGACAATCAAATCACCTTGGAGTATTTCATCATCATGTTCTCTCGAGGAATCCTCACGTTCTCCAGTTTCAGAAATCCGTTATCAACTTCATTAAAGCCAAACTTAGGGCCAATATCACCGACTACGATTCCTGCAGCAGGAAAGCAGAAAAGATCATGAGAGACGGGTGGATTTTCTGCAAATGCTACGTCCAAAGAGACCAGACAAACTGAGTTTACCCGGCAGAGGTTGGTGAGTCGTCATGTCACGGATGGGAACGATGAACGCATGCAGACCGTGGCAGTTTCCCAAACTGTACAGCTGGGCCAAAACGATGGCATGGTTGGAGGTCTTCCCAACTGGAACAGGAGGAGACAGAGGGGGGATGATTTCTGCTCTGCCTGAAAGCCCAGACCATCGGAGTATCTGTGATTGCGCTTACGTCCTCCAGGCCACCATTTGATGGAGCTGACGGTGGGACTGTTCAACACAAACTCCTGGGTGGCCGGATCGTACGTGGCTGTGGTCTCCAGGCCTCTGAGGTGTGTGCCTGCATCCAGAAAACGTTTACATCCCCACACAGCTTTGGTAAAATAACAGTGATATGGAACATTAGGGATGCACGATATTGGATTTTGGTTGATATCCGATATGCCAATATACTAAAGCTCATTTGGCTGATAACCAATACCGATATTTTTTTCCTATATTTATTTATTGAGTATATACGGCTTTCTCTACTGTGGAATTAAACTGCTGCATTATCTTTGTCAATTTAGCCTGCTAAAAAAAACGCAAATACTAAAAAGGAGGCTGGAAATTATGTAAAACTTTCAACTTGCATTATATTTAATGTAAATTTCGTGACATTTGCTCTCTCTAAGACAACAACACTCAAACAGAGCAAATTTGGCTTTGTCACTGGTTTGTCACATAAAAACAAACCAGTAAGTCACTTTTATATCAGTGAGTTATTTTGACGGAGTGGCCGACGTCTGATATAAAGTTTTACAGTTGATGTTTGCCGATACCGATACCATGCTAATAATATCGTGCATCCCTATGTAGCGTATTTCAGTTAGACAGTATAGCAATCTGCTAAGGCCACTTGGCTTCAAATTATCCCCAAAATGAATCAGAAATTATTTAAATTCAAAAAGCCAATTCAGTTTTTAGCTACAACACAAAGGAGTGACACAGCTTGTCGTGTTTGACAGATCTCAATGTAATCAACGCCATAACACGGCAGTCACAGGTGAACACAGGTCCTTAAACGACAGTTTGAGGTGAAGGAGAGGAAAGACGGTTCATCAAAATGACGCATTAGAAGCAGGGATACATTTCTAGCTATTATTCGAGAGGAACAAGAGTAAAAATTAATTAAGGGAAGAAGCGAACATTTAGCTTCGGTTTTTAGTTACTGTAGATGGAAGATTATCAGTTTTGGTAAATCAAACTAGGATTTTTCTCATTAGAGGCAATAAACACAAGCTATAACAAGCTAAAATGAGTTTTAGCGTCAGTTTCAGAGCTGAAATATTTTACTGTCAAACAGAAAAAATGAACATAGATCAGGGGGTCTGAAACCTGTTTGAACCTTTCACAATGGCTCTTTAACACTGATGTTTTTAAACATTATCAAACGCCTGGGTTGGTAGTTTTTCCAGTTTCTTCATGGAAAAAACTAGAAAACCTTCTGCAAGAGATTCACCTTCTAACAAAGGTTGAAAATTTGGTAACACTTTATTTGAAGGGGGGTGAATAAGACTGACATGACACTTTCATAAACATGACATAACACCTGTCATGAACATCAATAAGTCTTCATGAATATTTATGACTGTTGTCATAAAGCGTCATTCGGTAAATTATGACAACTTCACTTTAACCAATAAATCATTACTGATATAAATTTGTTATAAAATAATTACTGATTTCACTTTAAAAATTAGGTAACTTTATGTTATTAAAGGTAAAGTTTAAACAGTAATGATTTATTGGTTAATGTCAATTTGTCATAACAAAGACATTTTGAATAATGTCAACTTTGTATTAAAAGTGTCATAATTTACCGAATGACACTTTATGACAACAGTCATAAATATTCATGAAGGCTTATTCATGTTCATGACAGGTGTTATGTCATGTTTATGAAAGTGTCATGTCAGCCTTATTCAACCCCCTTCAAATAAAGTGTTACCGAAAATTTTAAGCTAGAAATTAAATTATGTTGTTTTTTTAATTATAGCCGATTTTCTCAGGTACATATTTATCATGAAACATTTGCTGTTCTAAACAAACTTTATTTAGCTGGACTGAAAGCAAAAAATGTCTCTTTGAATCATCATTAAAGCTTTGTAAGTGTTTTAAATCTACTGCAGCCTGAGAAGGCAAAGCTCACGATTGTTAAAATAATTTATAGTTTTATTTATTTTAATTAGAGATGCACCAACCCCCTTTTTTCACTTCTGATACCGATACCTGAGGTTCAGCATTGGCCGGTACTGATCCGACACAGACAAAACAGTGCTGAGTTAAAACATTTCTTTTTTTAAACACAGACATAGATGTACTATTAAATGTAAATTTATTTTATAACTCTGCAACAGTGCAGCCAATGTAAAATAAATAGTAAAGAATCTGACACTGACTAAAACTAAATGTTTTTGTCAGCAAATCTTCTCTCAAATGTTTTATGATTTTTTTTTCTGTGTTTTAAGTGAAATAATCTGCCAATGTAATTAATACTTTTTCATAAATATTAAGGGTGTATTCACTTAAAACAAGCTCCTACATCTCGCTGAAAAGTTACTTGTAAGTTTGTTTTATCTTATTTCAAATAAGATGTTTGAACTAGAAACTAGACTAAAAATCCTTGGTAAGATTTTGTGTTTTTGTAGCGTAGAATGAGCCTGAATTGATCGTTGTCACCAAAATCAGAGCTGGAGGGTTTTTCTGATATTGGGACCAATACAAATATTAATACTGGATTGGTGCATCTCTAATTGTAATGGGAAAAGATCGTGAGAGTGAGAAACTGTAAGAGAAAAATAAGATAAAAGTTAAAAAATCCATACATTTATTTTTTTTCCAAAAAAACCTGATCAGACAGAAACATTTAATTAACTCTGATTTTATCAAAACTAATCACTAATTGACTGAGAATCGTTCCTTTAACAAAAACACAGCTGGTTCGGTCGGGTCCGTTCTCGTTTTACCGTGGCCCATCTCGGTCTGAGCGTAGGTGCCGATGATCTCTAGGTTCCAGGCGGGCATGAAGAACCGGTCCATTTGAGCCGGGCTGGCCTGGTTGAGCAGCGTGGGCAGGAACATCGCCAAGTGGAGGTCCAAGGGCGATGGCCTGCCGGGGTGCACACAACTAGGCCGCGCAAGACGGGGGGCAAACAGGACAGAGGAGCAGGAGGGGAGGATGTGGGAAAAGGTGTGAGGATGGAAGGCATCCCATGGATGAATCAGAGAAAAGAATCACATTGTTTTATTCCCAGAGGAGAAATGTAAATGATTTGCATGGTTCAAGGCAGCAGAGAGGAAAGCAGTGAAGAGAGAAGACAAAACAGCTTGTGAGCATAACATGCATATTGGAATAGTTGATTCAAGCAAATTATTGTCATTTATTGAAACTTCACTCCTTCATTTTCCACTTAAATCTCCCTTCAGTGTCAGGAATTTGGTGCTAAACCAGAGCAAAAACATTTACAAAACACCAGAGCATCAGTCCAAAACGTGGAAGAAGCTTCTTCTCCTCTCGATTCAGGCCTAAAGCAGGCAGACGCTGCACATTCAGAGGCCTCATTAGCCTCCCCGATCACACAATGCTGCCTGTTTATTCGCTACATCCCATAATCTCTGGTCGCCATGGATCCAGATGCAGACTAGGAAGGCTCAGATTGTTATTAATATGAATTATTTGCTATTTTTCCATGATTTGTAAAAGATGGAAATCAATTACGAGACACAAAGCGCCGTCATTGGTGAGTTATAATACAGAAAAGAGAGTAAAACAAGAGGAAGTTTTTGAGCTAACTGATGACTGAAGCGGCTCTGAGGAAAACCGACGCTACGTTATGATAATTAGTTCACTATGTTAACTCTACAACAGGTGCAGAAGCATTTAGGACAGTATTTTGTTAGAGAATCATCTCTCATTAGCAGATAAAATGCCGTCTTCGACTACATGATTCAGATCTGTCAAACACGCACAAGAACTTCCCATCGCTCCCCATTGGTACCGATCCGTGTTACGTTTAAGAAATGGTTGTTTTTAACATCAAATAAGGGCCTTATGAATCGATCCAGTAAATAATTTAGCTTCAACATTCAGGACTGACCGTGACCCATCTCAGTTTGGGCATATGTGCCCAAAACCTGGAAGGAGTCAGCCAGAGGCAGCCATTTCTTGGCCTGCTGGGGGTCGCAGAGTCTGCGCAGGCTTGGGATGAACATGACAACGTGCAGCCCGAAAGGTTCCTGCTGGTTCCCTTTAACCATACTGGACGAAGAGGGGTTGAAGTTCAGGTTCAATAAATCAACAGACAACACATACATTTACTGATATTAAACAAGATATGTGAAGGTGACTTATCGAACATTATTTCAGCCTGACGTAGAAAAGACGTCTCAATGAAAAATTGAGCTAAACATTTTAAAATATCACTTGATAATTATGTGTTATTAAAAGATTGTAAGATTAATACCTGAACACCATCTATAAAGTCTTAAAGAATGCAAACATTTTAAAAAGACTTAAATAAATAAGCAATGCTAAGCCTGGTGGGGGCACAAATAAAGCCTGGTGGCCAGCCAGGCTAATAATACACCTGTTTATGCACTGACAGCCATAAAGTTACTAAAAAAGAATTAATGCATATTTTTTATCTTTTTTTTTTTTTGCTGTCACAGTAGTGGTGATAAAATCCTAAATCAATATCGCCCACCTCTATTCTGTACAAATCACAACAAATTTCCTACTGTAGATATTTATCAAAAGTTCTTTTTCCACAAGGCTGTGTAACGTTTGCATTTCTAAAATAGTTTTATTTAGCTGATAAAAATGGCAGACCAGTGATTTGTTCCATAAAATCCCAATAAAATGGATTAAAGTTTCTGGTTGCAACGTGACTTATGTGAAAAGGTGGAAGTATGAATCCTTTAGCAAGGCACTGATTAAACTTCTCTACTCTCCACTGTAGAAGTGGAACAAGCTGGCAGCCTCTCAGCCTTTCACACACTTTTAATCTCTTCTGAACTTTGCTCAGACTTTTGTTTGCTTCAAACCCACAGAGGAGTCCACAGACATTTTTCTAGACTGTCCATTATGCTGAATGTCAGATTAAAGCAACCACTTGCCTTAATCTTTAATCTTAACCAGAAGGTTAGTCAACTAACCTTCTGACTAAGATGATTAAACTTCCTGAAAAATGGGGCCTATTTGGAGAAAAAACAAATCCATTTTGATTCCTGGTTTTAGCAGCTACGTCATTTACTGCTGGGTGGGTTTGGATATCAGAGACTTTGACTGTAATCATAAAGTTCATGTAGTGATTTTAGAACGGCTCTGCACTGAAGTTAGTTAATGACATACTGTCACAACAAACAATAAATCAATTAATCACATGATAAATTAAAACAAACTCAATCATTTCCATTCACATCATTAACATTTTTCTTTTTCCCCCTTTTTTCTACTAATATTGATTTTCAATTTGATGCATTTATCTCAATGTACCTTTTTTTAAGGACAATTCTGTTTACAGAATCTTAATAAGTCATTTTATTGATTGTTTCTGTTGTTTTGTTTATTTATTTGGGATATTTAAAATGTCTTCCAGCTCAGGTGTTAAATGTAAATTTGAGAATGTATTCTTGCATTATTATGCCATTATTATTTTTATATTACTTAAAAATGGTTTCAAAACAACAATATTATTGTTTATTGCAATAACAACGTCATTGTTCAGCAAAATATGTTATCATGACAGACATACAGGTACACTGCAGTCCTGTCTGGGAAATGTTTAGTCTGCTTGATTTGAAAATAATTTATTTTCATAGATCAATATATAACAGCGTTTCTTTTTTGAGAGCTTCAGTTTTTGGTTAACGTTGAACTTTTTAGCGTCAGTTTATCGCAGTGATTAGACGGCAGAGAATCGTTTTCCCGCCAGCGTCGTTCTCCGTCTGCGTACCTTTTGTAGTGATAGATCTCCTCCGGGTCGGCGATGCCATACTCTCGGAGCTTCAGAATCATCTGGGCGCTTTTTCGAACGGCCTGGTCGTAGCGTTCGCTGCGAGACAGGAAGTTTGGGTCGTCCTCGTTGAAATCTGGGTCACTGAAAACCAGCGCCTCTACGGAAGACAAACAAAACGTTAAACTACACGTCCAACAGCGGAGAGATGGAAACTTATGAGTATTTTTTAAGTATGGTCATACAAATCTAATGTATCACTTTTTATTTTTGTACAATATTTCACAGTAAATGCCAGAAAACTAAAGAAATATCAATACGAAAATAGTGTTTGAATTTAAATTTTAACTAACTGTTGACTTATTTTTATTTTCTAAAGCTGGTGTCAGTATTTAAAAGCCTTAGCAGTCAAGAGTTGATTTGTCTCATCAATTATTTTTATTTTATTTACCTGATGATTCCCCCTGCTGTCACTTTCGTTTGCCCGAGAATCAGAAACACATGAATAACGGACAGAACTGAGAAATTTTTCCGTCCTTTCGTCAGTGGTATTCAGGTCAAATGCTTCAAAATAAATCTAAATTTATTTTTTCCATTGGTAAATATTGTGATGACAATAGGCCTACTTGTTTATTCCTCATCTGTGCTTCTATCACCTAGTATAATCTTTATAATTTTGGGCATTGTAAGTTGTGTCCAGTGTAAACATCTGAGACAGAAAATACTACATTCATATGTAAAGTAGATGTTCACAACACTTAAAATATACCACACAATATTTACTGCATTACAAACAGTTCGTAAGGGTTTAAATATTGTATACAATGATCTATTGCGCAGTCCGACAGGTTACCCTTTAATATAAGTCAAAGCATTTCTTCCTAATCTCTGTCTGATTTTAACTAAGCTGAAAAAAATACAGAAAAGCTCATAATACTGTCTGATGAGTTTATTTTTTGAGAGTTTTGATGGATTTTATTAATGAGGAGGAATAATTTATTTTTCTCATCACTGATCATAGGAAAAAAAATCTAATTACTTTGATCTCCAGTTAGTTTAAATGTTCAGCAACAGAAATAGTAAAAAAAAACAAAAAACAAAAAAAACGAATCAAAATATCTTCATAGCATGAGACCAAAAATGCTAAAAGGAAATGTAGCTCAGTTAAAATGCTGCTCAGTTCTTTAAAATGTCAGCTTTAGCCATTTTTTTCTTGGCATTTTCATGTCTTTCTAAATAATACTTTAGAAAGACTCATAACATTTCCAATAGGAATGACATTAACAGTGTAAAGAACACACTTTTTTATTAAGCCATTTTCCTTTTTTTTTTTTTTTTTTTTTTTAGAAATGCAACAACATTGAAGAAAATGTACCAAACATAAAAACTTGTTCTTCAAGTTAAAAATCTAAACAAATTTCTATTTTTCTTCAGAGTCTTGGATCTTTTCTGGCTCTAAACACATTTGTTTTGCTGAACCGATGGTAAAATGGTTTTTATGGTAGTAAAGGTTGCTGTACTATGATAATACATGCTACTTAGCCTGCTCTTTCTTTGAGATGGCAACCAGCTTACAAGGCTTATTCAGTCAGGACCCGAAAAACAGGATCGACACCATGTTTAATATAACTTTAATAAACATGGACTTGACATGACTCAATTGAATTATTGAGTCATAAAGATCTTTTGACCTTGGTAATAATAATTTTTACTTCTACTAAGTGCAGCCTGACTTAAATTTAAAGCTAATTGGTAGATAAAACTAAAGCCGAATATAGCTGTGAAAAATGCTCAATCAAAATAATATAAAAAATCTTAAAATATCTCTTTTCATGGGCCCTGTTGGAGACATTTTTCTAAATAACACTTTAAAAAGACTCATAAACCTTAACTTGAGATGCGTTTAAAAATATTTTGCAAGCTTTGAAGTAACAACAGTTCAAATTTATGTAGCAGCTTGTAATTGCAGCAAATTGGATAAATGTACACAACGGCAGCTGTAAAAACTACATTTCAAGCTCACCAATTTGTCGTCTTCTTTTGGTCTTTTCCGGGCCTCCGTCCAAAATGTACGTAAGTTTTTCGACGTCAAACGAAGCATTTTGACGTTCTCGTGTGATATCAGGATTCATGGCTCTATGAATAGAGCGAAAACCTCGTCTATATGGGCGGAAAATGAGCTAAAAAGTGTTGAATAATAAGTAGAGGTACTCCAGTAACCTGCTGGACCTGGGTAATGTCTCTACTGCGCAGCCGCAGAGAGGTGGGAACGGTTACGTATGGTGACGTGACACAGATCCCGGAAGTGTTTTCCCGAGAGTTCTGTGATAGGTTAACTTCTTTATAGTTAATAAACATGTCGATGCTTCCTCCAACCGCAGTGTTTCGTCTTCCTTGGGAAGTGAACTCAATCAAAGAAGGAGAATCAGTGCGGACATTTGGCAGGTCGGGATTTAGGCATCGGTTCTGACCCAGAAAGTTTATAGTTATGTCGACCCCCAGGATGGTTGACTAATAATCAGACCTGGTTTAGAGTGTACCTGGGTTGGCTACAGGGCAAATTTCCAACATTATATCTTGATATATTGCTTTTATTTATTTGTAACTTGAAATTGTTGCCTTTCCAGACTTGTTTGCTATCAGCCGGATGAATCCAAAGCCACCCTGACAGCCCAGCATGCTTCCAAAGAACACCGTGTGTTTGTCCAAACCCAGTTTGTTGAGCCATTTAACCCAATAATTGGAGCCCAGTACCTGGTTCTGGGTGAGACAGAAATGTATGAAGGTAAAAGACCCCTCTGTGATTTCTCTTGTAGTTTTTATTTAGTTTATCTTCTCTGATGTTCTTATTAAAGAAGCTGGTTATGACCGAGAGATACAAAGTTGTTGGTGTCACCGGTGGAGTTCTGCGTTGTGTTTGGTGTGGTGATCAGACAAACCACAAGACATCAAGTCTGGGTTTGGAGGCGGTCTCCGTTTATTTATTCTGTCAATCGGGAGATATTAGCATTAGCACCTAGCATGTGCTCCAGTTCTCCAACCCGATCTATACAAAATAATAGTTACCATGCACAAATTATATAAAGGTGTAATAACAACTCAAATAAAAATATCCAAACACTTATCATTAATACAGAAGGAAAAATAAACATTTGAACTCTATAAATGAAAGGATTACAATAGATTATAAAACTTGCCTCTCCCCAGTGGAACGAACAACAAAAGGGAAGAGGAAATTAATAACTTAATATTTATAATGGTCCTGGAGGACCCTGAACAAAAGAAGAAGAAAATAAGGCGGAGTTGGAGGACCGAACCCCTTATAGCAGACACAGAAGAACACAACAACAGTCAAATAGAAGCAACCAAATACATGAAAGAACACATTTTGTGGAAATATACAATTATTAATATAGACCCAGTTACATTGGCACACTGAAAAATTAAAATATAGTCATTGGGATGATAATGGACTGAATTTAGCGCTGTTAAAGTTATACTCGTCCTAATAAGAAAGCAATCAATTAACTGCATGATAAATTAAAATAAATTTGATAGTTTTCATTCTGATGATTAATATTTTTGAAGAAAAATGTTGTTTACAGACATCATAATCCATTTTTTATTATTTAAGTTGTAAGTGGTATTTATTTATTGTTTTTGGTTGTTTAATATCCAAATACTATAACGGGAAGATATGCAAAATATCTTCCACTTAAATGTTAAGTGTTCTTTACAAAAAGTGTATTGGTCTTTGATCGGGCAAACTCTCATAGACCAATAATAATATAATTATAATTTTTAATATATTGAAAATAGTCTCAAACAATATTGTCACTTATCGGGACAATTATCGTTATTTGTTATTGTGACAGACCAATCAAACTACTTTACCCGAGATCCACATAACCACACAGTCAAACTCACATTCATACAGATAAGCCCAAAAGTTTGCATATTTATGCTTAAATTAATTTTTTTTATTATACCAACAGCTTTCTTTTGACTGGAAATCGATTGTTTTGAAGTGGTCCAGACATTCTGTACTTTAATCTGTTAGATGAGTGTTTCTCAACCCTGGACCTCACAGCCCCCCTGCTCTGCATGTTTTAGATGTGCCTCTATTCCAGAACAGCTGATTCAAATGATTGCATGACCATCAAGTACTGACCATCTAAATAAATTTTATTTAGGTAGACCGAGGGGAAAATGGCTCTTTGAATTATAAGGGTTGAAAACTCTGACCCACCCACATCCGTTTGTCTGCAGGGGTTGGTGTGATGGTTCGCGCCCGTGTCCTGAATTGCGTTGATGGCGTAAACACTGCACTTCTGCAGAAGGCCATCGCTGAGCAGAGGAGCTTCTTCGCCGAGAGGGAGAGCAAACAGGGGGAGGTTGCACAACCACAAGATGTAACTTGATAAAGGTCTTCATGCTGTAATGTTAGCAGGCCCACAGCAATGTTCAGAGACTTTTGTACCCATATTATCTTTATCAGATACTCTGGCACAAGGAAGCTAAGAATCAGTCTGGTTCCCAGAAGACAGATTGGGTCCATATATTGTATTTTTGTCAATCTCTGAGGTTTATGATTGCTTGTAGCAGATTTTTGTGTTAATTCTGCTTGATGATGTCATTTCACAGCTTGTGAACAAATGTTATGCCAAAGCTCATATACAAGCAGCAGATTCACATTCCTCCATTATGTGGATGACAATAAACTAGGTATATTTTCTACTGTCAAAATCAGGTATATTTCTGTATATATTTGTAATAAAAAATAATGTCCTGGTTAAACGAAATGAAACATAATGGGTGATGTCTTATTCTGGAATATGCCTCTCTGGTATTGTTTAGGAAATTATTCTTACATGGTGAACGCTGCTTCTTATGAGTTGTGGTCTGCTCGTATGAAAACCAGGGCCTTAAAGGAACAGTACAACTTGATGTCATCTGCATAGATATGACAGTAGTGATCTTTAAGTCTGTTTATCATCTTTATGGATTGCTTCTGTTTCTATAAACCTGCAAGGAAAAGCAAGTTTTGACAATAGATGGATGAATTGATGCATTTAGCAGAACATTCATAATAAAAAGTGAAGAGCCAAATGCTTTTTAACCATCATAAGTTAATTTTAATCATATCTGATTCTTCATAAAATATCAAACAATTTCAAGCTTTAAGTGAAGAATTAACACAGAGTCAAATCAGTCTATAATATTATGCCCCGATATCCCCAATACCACACCAATATTCACCATAAACAGTATTATTACAGCACTGGTCACTTTATTTTGATCCAAAAGGGCTCAAACAACAAATATTCCTATGTATGACTCTTGGTTAAACAAATGCAACTCAACAGCAATCATCCTGGCAGCTTGACCAACAGTTTTATAATATACGTCTTCTCCTGAGTTAATATATATATATATATATGTAGTAGAAGCAGCAGAATCCATAATATATTTTATTACCAAGCTAAAAAAACAACAACCTCTAAATAATAAACATAAATTAGTTGTGTGTAGTGAAAGAAAAGAAAATAGCTTAATAACAATAATAACTTAGACCTTGACGCAACTCAGAATGTCGGCACACTCAGCTGTTGGCATTAACAATTTAATTTTCAGGCCTCATAAAGAAAACAGCAGGCTCAGCTAAGCTAGCAAAGAATGCAAGCCACAGTCGAAACCAATCTACCAGGTTTTGACAGCAGAAGCATAAATAACACCTAAAATAACTGCACTAAACAACTACAGCAGCAGTTACACGCACGCCCCCAACCCACCAAGCCAAGCAAAGGTGCAAACTGCATTTATGGCATCCTTCAATTGTGTGATGTTTTGGTAAATTATCTCCCACAAATTATCTAAGCTTTTCACTATGCATGGAAACGATCAGTGTTTGTCCAGATTCTGGTTTGACTGTGCTTCTCAGCATGCAACATCCTCATGGCTGCTTAGCCTGTTATAAGTAACCCATTCACTCGAACACAACCACAGGAATAAATCCACAAACAAAAGTTTCAGGACCTCCATTTCCTGAGGTCCTGAAGTTTATATGCAAGCTCAGATGAACTGGTTAATAATTCAACTGGTTAATAATCCAGATGCCACGGGGCATCACTATTACATTGCAGATGCACTGTAAGGCAATAATCTCCAACAAACATTAGTGTCACTAGCTTTTATTAATGAAAATTATCTTACTCTAGCCAACTCTGGCAAACTTACATAATGTTGATTAATGTACACCATCCCTTGAAAAATTAATACATTTGCCTTAGCCATTTTCCATCGCCTTGTTTCATGGACTCACCCAGCAAACTGACAGGAAGATAAATTTTACTAAGCATTTTGTCATGTATTTTATGTAGTAACTACCTTCATTCTTTGTTAGAAATGGATCCGTCAGATGTACACCTTTAATATGCTCTTTTTCAAACTTACATCTACTGCATGTCCACACAAAATAAATGCAGAGATTCCTTGATCTGCAGCAATCATTGTGGCCTCAGATGAGTTTACTTGTTATTAACTCTAAATTCAATTCCAAACATTTTTAGGATCCTAAATTAGCAATGCTGTTCACCTACTGAGTCAGGAGAGCCACTGAGTCTCCTCACAAGCCAAACATCAGGAGACTTCCCAGTTAAAGCCTGACCTCCTGGTTAATCTATCCCCTCTTCCTCTCTTCCCCTAGTGATATCAGATAGCTATGGTGTTAACTACAAGTCAATCTAGACATTAAAATATCTTGAAGAGCAATATGTTGGAGAATAGCTTGGTTTGGAAGAGGCAGGCAGCATAGGTAAGCCAGATGCAGGGTCTTTCCTACAGCGATCCAGAGCTTGCTTGTAGCTGATCTTCTCCTTTGTGATAGGGTCAATGATATCTCTGACAGAGTGTTCGCCAGTTTGTAGATCCTTTTTTGTTGTACTGTCAATCTTTTTAGATTCAATGGCATCCAATAAGCTAATTCGGTGACTGTTGTTAGGATCTACCAGCCCCCCAGTCAGGTGTTGTGCCTCCATGTAACGAATGGCTGAATCTTTTGGCATCCAGCCTTTCTGAACAGCTTCTCCCACAGACAAAAGCTCTTTGGTCATGGGGTCTTCAACTCCAGTGAAAGCTTTCTCTGCATTAAGCAGCCGTTGGACTTGGCTGTCCTCGATAAGGCCTCTTTGTGCCGCCTTGTGAACTTTGTATCTTTCTTTGTTGCTGATGTCAATAATGCCACCTGTTGCTGCTTGAGCCTCCAGCAATCTTTGGGCAGTGGTA